AGTGTACCAACATATAATATGATAATGGGAGTCCCAAAAGGAGAGGAAAGGGGAGGAGAGAATACTTGAAGAAATAATGTTTAAAAACTTCCCAAAGCTGTTAGACGTCATGATCTACACATATAAAAAGCTCAATGAACTCTGAATAATATAAAAAAGAAAAAAAGGTCCACACTGAAACACACTATAATCAAAGTGTTGAAAGCAAAAGACAATCTTGAAAGCAGTAGAAGTAATTCATCATGTAAAAGGCATAGTCAACAATATTAGCAGCCGATTTCTTAACAGAAACCAGAGACAACTGAAGGAAGTGGGATGACATATTCAAGAGTGCTGAAAGAAAAAAAAAACTGTCAACAAAATATTTGAAATCCAGCAAAGCTATCCTATAAAAAACAATGAGAAATTAAGGCATTCTGAGGCAAAGCTGAGAAAGTTCATTGCCAGCAAACCTACCCTACAAGAATGCTAAAGGGAATCATTCAAGCTGAAATGAAATGTCACTAGACACTAAATTGAAGCCATTTGAAGATACAGTTGACCCTTGAACACCACAAATTTCATTTGTGCAGGTCCACTTATACACAGAATTTTTTAAAGAGTTGACAGAAAAAGCCACAAGGCATTTATTTACAAGTACCCACCCCAGACTCCATGAAACCAAATTGAAAATGACTGGGGCAAAAGTCACACCTGCTGCCCTCCGAGTACCCAGGGAGGCCTGCTGAGGCCATCAGTGGTGCCGAGGGGCCCTAGACCTGTGAAGGGCTACAGGTAACACCATTTGCCTACGAGGTGGTCACGTTCAACACTCAGTAGTGCCAAATAGGAGGTTGGGCTGAAGTAGAGGAACAGGCCTGGAGGGCAGGAACAGTATTGCACAGGGAGCCCTGTGCCATGGTTCCCCCACCCAACAAGTCCTGTCGAATGCCTGTAGCCTTCAAGCTCCTCCCAGACCAAGCATACATCCCTTCCTCTGGAAGTATCCTGGGCCCATGGCCTCCCAGAGGCTGGCACATTTATGTGTGCCCACAGCTGCCAATGATCACAGGCTGGTGTTACACCTCCAGGCATATGGGGCAGGTGTACTGCACCCCCAGGCTCTGTCACTTCTCATGGGTATTTTAGGCAGCTACTGATGTTGATCCAAGGCCACCAGGCTATGGAACATCGCCATCCTGGAGCCAGTCCTGATGTTTGCCACCCTTGTCTCAGCTGGCTACACATGGATTTTTTCAATAAATTACATACAGTACGATAAATGTATTTTCTCACCCTTATGATTCTCTTAATAACATTTTATTTTTGTTAGCTTACTTCATCATAATAATGCATTACATAATAAAAATAACATACAAAATATATGTTAATTGACTTGTTTATGTTATTGGTAAAGTTTCCTATCTATAGTAGGCTATTGTTAAGCTTTAGGGGAGTCAAAAGATACAGCAGATTTTCAACTGCACAGCAGTTGGTGGTCCAACTCCTATATTGCTCAAAAGTCAACTGTATAAAGAATCCTGGTAAAAATAAATACTCAGGTCAATATAAATGCTAGTATTACTGCATTTATATTGACCTGAGTATTTATTTACTGTATTTGTCATTTTTGTTTCTATATCATTTAGAAGATAAATGCATAAAACAATGATTATAAATCAATATTAAGCAGTATAAAGTTGTAATTAGTGACATTGACAACAAAAAGGGTAACAAACCTATATAAAACAGATTTTATACAATAATGTAGCAAAGTTTATACTGTTTCAAACTAGATAGTTATAACTTTCAGTTGTTTCTTTTTTATAATGTTTATTTTAATTCCAGTTAGTTAACATGCAGTGTAATATTAGTTTCAGGTGTGCAATTACGTGAATCAAAGCTTCCATACAACACCCAGTGCTCATTATACCAAGTGTACTCCCTAATCCCTGTAACCTATTTAATCCATGCCCTAACCCACTTCCCCTCTGGCAACTATAAGCTTGTTCTCTATAGTTTAGTCTGTTTCTTGGTTTGATTCTTTTTTCCCTTTGCTCCTTGGTTTTGTTTCTTAAATGCCACATGTGAATGAAATCATATGTGACTGACTTTATGTCACTTAGCATAATATTCTCTAGCTCCATCCACATCATTTTAAATGGCATGATTTCATTCTTCTTATGTCTGAGTAATATTCCATTGAATATATATACCACTTCTTTATCTTGTTGATGGACATTTAGGTTGTTCCCATAATTTGTATATTGTTGATAATGTTGCTATAAACATCAGAGTGCATGTATACCTTTGAATTAGTGTTTTTGTATTCTTTGGATAAATACCTACTACTGCAATTGCTGGACTGTAGGGTAGTTCTATTTTCAACTTTTTGAGGAACGTCCATAGGGTTTTTCAGAGTGGCTGCAACAGTTTTCATTCCCACCAAGAGTGAAAGAGGGTTCCCTTTCTCCACATCCATGCCAATACCTGTTGTTTCCTGTGTTGATTTTAGCCATTCTGACAGGTGTGAGGTGAAACCTCATTATAGTTTTGATTTGTATTTCCCTGGTGATGAGTGATTTTAAGCATCTTTTCATGTGTCTCTCAGCCATCTGTTTGTCTTCTTTGGAAAAATATCTATTCATGTCTTCTGCCTATTTTTAATTGGATTATTTGCTTTTTGGGTGTGGATTTGATAAATTCTTTATATGTTTTGGATACAAACCTTTTATCAGATATATTACTTGCAACTATCTTCTCCCATTCCATAGATTGCCTTCTAGTTTTGTTTATTGTTTCTTTTTTTGTGCAGAATCTTTTTAAAAATATTTTTTACTATTTATTTGTTTTTGCAAGAAAGACAGACAGACACAGTGTGAGCAGGGGAGGGGTAGAGAGAGAGGGAGACACAGAATCTGAAGCAGGCTCCAGGCTCTGAGTTGTCAGCACAGAGCCCAATGCGGCACTTGAGCCCACCAGCTACAAGATCATGACCTGAGCCAAAGTTGGACACTTAATCAACTGAGCCACTCAGGCACCCCCAGAAGCTTTTTATTTTGATGTAGTCCCAGTAGTTTATTTTTACTTCTGTTTCCCTTGCCTCAAGAGACATATCTAGAAAGAAGTTGCTACAGCCAATATAAAAGAGATTACTGCCACTGTTCTCCTCTAGAGTTTTTATGATTTCAAGTCTCACATTTAGGTCTTTAATCCATTAGCAAATTGAATTTAACAATACAAGAAAAGAATCGTGATTAAGTGGATTTATTCCAGTGATGCAAGGATGGTTCAACACCTGCAAATCAATCAACATGCTGCACCATATTAACAAAATGAAAGGAAACTAATCATACAATCATCTCAATATATGTAGAAAAAGAATTTGGCAAATTCAACATCCATTTATCATAACTCTCAAAAAAGTGGGTATAGAGGGAACATACTTCAACATAATAAAGATCAAATATGAAAAACCCACAGCCAAAATCATACTCAATGGTGAAAAAAATGAAAGGTTTTCCTTTAAGATCAGGAACAAGGCAAGGATGTCTGCTATCCACAGTTAACATTTTTATTCAACAGTATATTGAAAATCTGAGCCATAGCAATTAGCCAAGAAAAAAATTAAATGCATCCAAAATTGGAAAGGAAGAAATGAAACTTTTAGTATTAGCAGATGACCTGATAGTATATATAGAAAGCCCTAGGAACCCCATCAAAAAATGATAGAATGAGTCAACACATTCAGTAAAAATACCAATTAATATAAAGATCTCTTGAATTTTTATACACTTGTAATGGACTATCAGAAAGATTAGTCAAGAAAAAAATACAATTTATGATTGTATCTCAAAGAATAAAACATCTAGGAATAAATTTAACCAAGGAGGGGAAAGACATGTTCACTGAAAACTATAAGGCATGGATGAAAAAAAATGAAGAAGATACAAATAAATGAAAAGATTTTTGTGCTCAAGGATGGGAAGAATTAATATCATTAAAATGTCCATATTACCCAAAGATATCTGCAGATATAATGCACCCTTGATGAAAGGTCCAATGCTATTTTTACATGAATATAATAAACAACCCTAAAATTTATATGAAAACGTAAAAGACCATGTATAACCAAAGCAATCTTGGGAAAGAAAAAATCAGCTGTCTGCATAGAGCCCAATGTGAGCTCGAACCCACGAACCACAAGATCATGACCTGAGCTGAAGTCAAAAGTTCAACACACTAAGCCACCCAGGCGCCCCTCATGCTCTCTGATTTCTAAGTGCACTATTAAGCTATTGTAATCAAAACAGTATGTTATGGGCAAAAAACAGGCACTGAGTTTAATGAAACAGAATAAAAAGCCAAGAAGTAAACCCACACTTATATGGCCAATTAAATTTTGGCAAAGTTAACAAGAATATACAATGGAAAAGAAACAGTCTTTTCAATAAATACTGTTGGGGAACTGGAAAGCTACATATTAAAAAATGAAGCTGGAGCACTATCATACACCATATACAAAAATCAGCTCAAATGGATTACAGTCTTTTAATGTAAGACCTGAAACCATACAACTGATATGGGATGCCCGGGTGGCTAAGTTGCTTAAATGTCCAGCTTTCCTCATGTCATGATTTCAAGGTTTATGAGTTTAAGCCCCACATGGGATCTCAGCACAGAGCCTGCTTCACATCCTCTATCCCCCTCTCTTTCCCTCCCCCACCTCTCTAAAATAAATAAAAACATTAAAAAAACATACCTGGTAATCTCCTTTACATTTGTCTTAGTGATTTTTTAAAACATGATTTCAAAAGCAAGGAAAACAAAAGCAAAAATAAATGAATAGGACTACATCAAAATAAAAAGTATTTGGAGAGCAAATGAAACCATCAGCAAAATGAAAACACAACCCACTGAATGGGAGAATATATCATACATCTGATAAAAGGTTAATCCAAAATATATGAAGAAATACAACTTAGTAACAATAAAATAATAGCTTTAAAAAAGGGCAGAGGATGACATAAACCTATGAGTAGGGAAAATAATAATTCAAGGCGGTGCCCAAATTCTCACTGCTAATGTGAGATTAATTTTTGAGCGGATAATAGCTGCCCCCAAAGGTGACCTGCCTATTTCGCAGGACGCCTGGGAGTCACGATCTGCCCATTTCCCTTTAACACTGAAAGAGTAGAGTGGTACAACAGTAATGAACAAGATTTAGAAGGTGCTTATAGGATTAACCCTCGAGGTTTTACATGCCCAAGGTCGGCAACTCCCACAGCAGCCTTGCACTTGCCTTCACTACTCCCTGTGTTACCTGAAACTTCTAAAGAAAAACATGGGCAGAGGATTGAATAGACATTTTTCCAAAGAAGATATACAGATAGCCAAAAGGGACATGAAAAGATGCTGAACATCATTAATCATCAGGGAAATTCAAATCAGAACCATAATGACATATCTTACACAAGTCATAATGGCTATTTACTTTTTTAAATATGAAATTTATTGTCAAATTGGTTTCCAT